TGGCTATTGGCCAAATTACCATTTCAAAATATTAATATTTTAACGAGTCAAGCCCACGACTTAAACCAATTCCATGACCCAGAAACAAAATTTATGGAAAATTCTAATGGGCACAGACTCCCGAGGAGGATGAAGTCACTGCTGCTCTGCCGAAGATACAGAATTGTCACCAAAGCAGGATGAGACTCTAGGAATTGCGAGAAGATAGGTTTCAATGACTTCCAATGCAGCATAGGCATAGACAAACCTATGGAGTACTCTCCAACAAATCTAGCACCACTCATGCCGAAAAAGGCAACAAAACTTGGAAGACGACCAACTCCAAAACCTAAATCCAAACCAGCCAAAGAAGCAAGTCTTGGGCGCATGCCCATAGTGAACACAAGGGAAATAAAGGAAAGCGGATTGGCTCTGACTTTCACATCGGGCCCGAACAGTAGCAAGAGCTCATGTCGAGGCTCAAAGCCTTAGCCGGGGAGAGAACCAAAGCAAGTCGAAACAACGTATCGTCACCAAAATAGGAATGCCAGATAAAGGGGAAAGACCGCCTTAGAGCAAATCTTATCAAGAAAACTAAATCGGTCTTTAATCTCCAACCCCTAGGAGATAAAAATAACGAGAGAACCATCCTTCAGATTTGCAACAAAAGGGTCACTCACCGGTGAAACAAACCGACGAATCGAAGCCACTACGCCAACATGAACGAGGCTGAGCCACCGCGAGCAACATCCGATAGTTACCACCATGATAGAGCTTGGACACGAATGACCAGATATGGATCTCGTCGAAAAAATCTAGGCTGATCCTCCACAATAACTACGTCAAGATCGCAATCAAAGCATATGCAGTTGTCGAGATCCACCACCGAGAGACTGGATGGTCACGTAGGTCATCGGAAAAATATGCTTTTACCAGGATGAAGAACCGCATGCCCCAAAATTTCGAAGGCGAGGCTCCTCACATCGCCGGTGGAGCCGATCACTGGAGGAGCAAGATGAGATCTGGGTTGATGCGAGGGCGAATTGGATGGATGCAAAGAGAAGGAAGAGAGAAACTCTCTATTTTCATCTTCAAGAGTAAATGTTGTAAATATCATCTTAAAATCCATGTTTTACAAATATTATTGATAATGGTTAATTGGGTGCATAACAAAGAAATAAATTGTAACTAAAAAAACTCTACATCTAATGGCTATGATTTGGCACATATGCCACT